GGTCGGCCTGGCTGGCGGAAGTGGGGCCGCAGGGAGAGGGCAGACTGTGGAAGGGTAACTTCGAAGGAAGTTAGCAGAACAGCGAGGTCAGTCCCGTCTGGAAAGCCCCGTTCGGTTAAAAGTGAAATTTTATTTCAGAAACCAAAACCAGCCATGCGTGGGGCTCCTCCGTGGGAGTGCCCGGTCTCAGGAGCCACACTTTCTCCACGCGCTCGTCCCCCGCAGAGCCTTCACAGCCCGCGAGTCACCCACCCACAGGCGGTCTGTCGGGGGCCCTGGGCAGGACCCCAGGAGGGAGGCCGCCGCTGCGCTCGGGGCTGAGTCAGGAAGAAGAGGACACCTTCCCAGGCCCTGGGCCCGGCCGCGGGCAGCGTGTGCCCACACTGTGCCCAGGAGACACCGTGGAGAAGACACTCGCTCGCCCATGTCATTTCCGCTGGGACCCTGGACTCTGCCATGGCAGTGGGACTCGGCTGACAGGGCTCCCCGGTCAGTGCATGCTCTGCGCACACCCGCTCCGCCACGCACACACTGGGTGCCTCCTCGTCAGGGGCGCCCCGGCCTCCCTGCTGCCTGTCCTCCTCTCCCGCACGCAGAGCACGTGTCCCTGGCTGATGGCGTCTCCTCCACGGAACTGTGAGCTCCTCAAGCAAACTCAGCAACACAGTCAGGGGACACCACGGACAAGGGACGCCAGGGACAGGGGACGCCAGGGACAGGGGACACCAGGGACAGGGGACGCCAGGGACAGGGGACACCAGGGACAGTGGCCAGGGCCACTGAGAAGGTGGCAGGAGAGACTTTACAGATGCTTCGGGAGGAGACAGACAGTCTGCGGGGTGGGGCTGGCGGTCCAGGCCTCAGTCACCGAGGCCCCTGCGCTCAGGTGTGCTCCCACCGGGTTCCCTAGGTGGCCCATCTCTGTGGTCCCCTTCGGAGCTTGCTTTATAGAGAAGCAGGAGACGAAGACGCGCCCGCAGTGGCCCGGCGCCTACCCCAGCACGGTGGCCATGCAGCTGTCGCAGAAGCGGTGCCCACACTCGGTCTGCTTGGGGTTGCACAGCACCAGCTGGCACTTCTCGCACTTGTACTTGTCCTCCACGGTCTTCACGAACTTCTCCTTGTACCCTCCTTGCTCGGGGACGAGCACCGGGGTGCCCGTGCTGCGGTCCGGGTGCAGCTTGAGCGACGGGTTGGTCTGCAGTGAGCCGGAAGGGTCCATCTTTTTACTCGGCTCCATTGTGAGACAGAGACACTCTGCTGGGAAAACAACAAGAAATGAGTCAAGTGCTGCCCATGGCCCAGCAAGGAGACAGCAGACACGGCCCTGGACGCCTATCAGCCTGAGCGAGGCTGGGTGCTGGGGTGGGGGGTGGGGGGGGAGCGCCTGCTCGCTGCGCTGTGCATGCTCACGCCGCTGCTCACAGCCCTGACGGCACGGATTGTATCTTGAAGGTTCTTTAAACCACAGAGAACACCTAGCTGGGCCGTAAGCTCCCATCCGAGGCCCCATTCCGACGCTCTGGCTGAAACCACAGCCCTTCCGCCAGTGTTGCTTTCCAGCCGGCCTTGCTGTGGAGGCCACCTGCTGGCCGACCGGGTGGAGGTGCTGTGATGGCCTGCAGTCAAGCACACTGCAGACTCCTGCTGAAGTGTGCGCGGTGCCACCCCGCGCGAGTGCCCCCCAGGTACCCGAGCCTGGGCACCACAGGCCTGGCCTTGCCTCCTGCCGGCCCCATCACTTCACCAACCCGCAGCTATGGGTCCCCACTCTGCCCACAGAGCCGCCGGTCCCCGCACTGCGCCCACAGAGCCGCCGGGTCCCGCACTGCGCCCACAGAGCCGCCGGGTCCCGCACTGCGCCCACAGAGCCGCCGGGTCCCGCACTGCGCCCACAGAGCCGCCGGGTCCCGCACTGCGCCCACAGAGCCGCCGGGTCCCGCACTGCGCCCACAGAGCCGCCGGGTCCCGCACTGCGCCCACAGAGCCGCCGGGTCCCGCACTGCGCCCACAGAGCCGCCGGGTCCCGCACTGCGCCCACAGAGCCGCCGGGTCCCGCACTGCGCCCACAGAGCCGCCGGGTCCCGCACTGCGCCCACAGAGCCGCCGGGTCCCGCACTGCGCCCACAGAGCCGCCGGGTCCCGCACTGCGCCCACAGAGCCGCCGGGTCCCGCACTGCGCCCACAGAGCCGCCGGGTCCCGCACTGCGCCCACAGAGCCGCCGGGTCCCGCACTGCGCCCACAGAGCCGCCGGGTCCCGCACTGCGCCCACAGAGCCGCCGGGTCCCGCACTGCGCCCACAGAGCCGCCGGGTCCCGCACTGCGCCCACAGAGCCGCCGGGTCCCGCACTGCGCCCACAGAGCCGCCGGGTCCCGCACTGCGCCCACAGAGCCGCCGGGTCCCGCACTGCGCCCACAGAGCCGCCGGGTCCCGCACTGCGCCCACAGAGCCGCCGGGTCCCGCACTGCGCCCACAGAGCCGCCGGGTCCCGCACTGCGCCCACAGAGCCGCCGGGTCCCGCACTGCGCCCACAGAGCCGCCGGGTCCCGCACTGCGCCCACAGAGCCGCCGGGTCCCGCACTGCGCCCACAGAGCCGCCGGGTCCCGCACTGCGCCCACAGAGCCGCCGGGTCCCGCACTGCGCCCACAGAGCCGCCGGGTCCCGCACTGCGCCCACAGAGCCGCCGGGTCCCGCACTGCGCCCACAGAGCCGCCGGGTCCCGCACTGCGCCCACAGAGCCGCCGGGTCCCGCACTGCGCCCACAGAGCCGCCGGGTCCCGCACTGCGCCCACAGAGCCGCCGGGTCCCGCACTGCGCCCACAGAGCCGCCGGGTCCCGCACTGCGCCCACAGAGCCGCCGGGTCCCGCACTGCGCCCACAGAGCCGCCGGGTCCCGCACTGCGCCCACAGAGCCGCCGGTCCCCGCACTGCGCCCACAGAGAGGCCACTGTGGACTTGCAGGCACTTTAATGGCGGGACACATGGCGGAGGGGACACGGGAAGGACGGGTCTCCGGTGCCCACATGCAGGCTCTCCTACCGCAGTGACCAGTGAGCACAGGGCTGGTCCCACCTCCAGTTGCCATCATGGGACGTGTAAGCACCTCCCAGACACGAGCCACAGGTGCCCGCCTGGCCCGCCGCCTGCGGAGGAAGTGGCTTCTGAGCTCACCAGTACTCTCCAGCCACACCAGGCTCTTGCTCCGCCCGTCCGTCCACTGCTGCTGCTTAACCTTCTCCCTGCTCTTGAGGCCTGTGGGCCAGTCCCACCCGCCCTCCTCCCAGGCCAGTGCTGGGTGGCCACGCGCCGGGCGCTGCTGGACCTGGAAGTGTGCTGAGCGGGGTTCGAGTGGGGCCGGCGGAACCCCTCTCTCCCAGCCTCGGCCTCGGTCCTCACGTGGCCTCGGCCTCTTTCTGAGGCTGGAAGAAGGGACGTGTCCCACTCGGGATGTGGGAGCTCAAGCCAGCAAGCTGGGCTCCGCCACACGGGTCAGTTTTCGTGAAACAGCGCCCTACTGTGCAGTGTGGAGCCTCCTGTCAAGTCGACCTGTGAAACCAAAAACGTTTGTAAAGTGACCTCAAAGGCCAGCAAGTCGTTGCCCACAAACCCATTCACTGCGGACGGCACCTGCTCGCCTTGCTCTCGAGAAAAGGGTGCACCGGGAGCCGACCTGCCCTTGGCCCTCTCCAGGCCGGGCACCTGCGTCTACAGATGCTCCAGGTGCCCCTCCTTCCGGGGATGCGCCCCCACCTTCCCAAGGAGCCCAGCCTGGCCGGACCCCGCAGCCCTGCCTGCCTTTCCATGGCACTCCCGCCGTCCAGGCCCGCAGGCGTAGTGTTCGCTGTCTCTCTCCGATAGACCAAGCTCCCGACAACTGGGCTTGATCTGTGTGGCTGACTGACAAGCCCCAGGCCCCTAGGACAGAGCCTGATGGGCAGCAGGTGCTCCACACACACGAACACAGAACGAGGTGAGGCTGAGCCACTCCACCCTCGGCCGGACCTGAGAGCTCCTCGCCCTGAGGGCCTCGCTGGGGGCTTGGCGAGCTGTGCTCAGGACCAAGTGCTCCATGCGAACTGGCTGCTTCTACGGCCGAGCTCCTGTTTCTAGTGTGAGAGACACTCACTCACCAGCCATCGGCTGTTTCCCTAAACACGCCAGGCTCCGTGCACATTAGTAAAGAGCACAGCTCGGGAGCCTGTGCTTACAGAGCAGAGGCAGAAGGCACCCAGCCCCGGTGGACGCTCGCCGCCCTGCCCTAGGCGAGGACAGCCCGCAGGAGTGTGTGTGTGTGGGGCGCCCCTCAGAGGCCTCTCGCAGCCCCTCCCAGCGGCCCTGCAGCCTGCCCCACACGCTGCCCACTCCTGAGCTATGCCGAGGGCTTGAGCAGCAGGAACAAGAAACACCAGCCTCCCTACGCACTGTCCACAGGGCGGGAAGCGGTGTACACGGAGACGTCCAGAAGGGGCGGGCGGAGATACCGGGCAGGGTCCCGGTGGCCAGGGGCGGGGGTGGGGCGCCTCCTGCTGGGCACGGCTTCCAGTTGGGGAGACAGAAGTCTGCAGCTGGACGGTGGGGGCGCACAACTGCACACCCACGAGAAACCACTGCACCTGGCTTGGCTCATGTGTGACATTTACTTAGAGCGTCACACACTTTAAAAGGCAAAAGATCTATGCGATCTGAAGAGAGACCAGAGGATGCACATCAAACGTCAGACTCTGAAATGGAAACTGCACACGCCCGACACGTGAGGTCTGAGATGAATTTATCCTGCACCAGCACCTGCTCTGCGAGGGGTAAAGGGCCATCTCGGTCCCTTCCCCGAGGCGGGTCCTTGGGAACAGCACAACGGCCCAGTCCCCAGTGCCGCAGGCCTCCGAGCTGCGCTGTGTGGAGCCTCTGCTGACCACAGCACTGGACACAGCTGCGCCCTCCGGCCCCCGGGGCCGGGAAGCCTGACAAGGATCGGGCTGTCTCCTCCTCTCGATGGCTCAAACCTTCCTCAAATGCCCCTTCTGGCCTTGGGGGGAGGGAGGTGCGCTCAGTGTTAGAGTGTCAGCCCGAGCATCCAAGGGTCTCGGGTTTGATACCTGGTCAAGGGCCTGGACCTGGGCTGCAGGTTTACTTCCTGTCCCCGACTGGGGTGCATTTGGGAGGCTACTCTCACATCAATGTCTCTCTCTCTCTCCCTCCCTCCCTTCCACTCTCTGTGAAAAGCAATGGAAAAAAATAGCCTCACGTGAGGATTCAAAACAAAACAAAACAACAAAGCAGAAAACCCCCACAAATGCCCCTTCTCGGCAATTAGGCAAGAAAAAGAAATAAAAGGCATCCAGGTTGGAAAGTAAGACGTAAAACTATTTCTATTCTCAGAGGACAGAATATAGAACATACTAAGGAATACACCAAAAACGAGTTGCACCAACAGCAAAGCTGCAGGATACAAGATCAATACATAAAACTTAACTGCATTTGTACATGCCAGCAATGAATAACCCAAACCTGAAGTCAGGAAACCACCCATTTAAAATAGCATCAAAGAGAATGGAGTGTCTGGGAATAAACGTAACCAAGGAGGGGAAGCTGTGCTTATTGATGCTGGAGGACAGCGTTCATGGCCCGGAAGCCTGGAGCTGCTGGGACGCAACCCGCCTACCGGGTCACTCATCCCTACGAAAAGCCTCGGCTGTTCTGCAGAAATTCATAAGCGGAACCTAAAACTCACATGGAAATACAAGGGACCCAGAACGGACCAAACAACCTTGAACAGGTACAAAGTTGGAGGACTTACACCTCCTGGCTTCCAAACTCTCTGCAGCTCCATCGGGGTCGCGGGGTGCTGGCCTGAGGACAGACACAGACCAACGAACCAGAACTGAGTCCAGAGATAAACCCTTACATCCGTGGTCACGCGGGTCCTGACAGGTGCCCAGGCCACGCACTGAAAGGGGCGGTGTGCACGCGGTGTCTGTCAGCATCTTGCGGCTGCTCAGAGCAAAGGCTCCATGCTGGGCGTCCTCATCGCGGCTCCGTGAGGGCGGGGCTGGGGTCACCACACAGGTACCTGCCCCCCCTCCGGCCGTCACCTGGGCATAGTTCTCGGACAGGAGTCCTGCCAGGGGGAACAGGAGGTGGGTTAAAGACCTCCCTTGCTGGTACCCTCGCTTGCCTTTCGGAAAAATGTACTAGCTGACACATACCAAAGGTCATGTGCACTCTACATGCAAGGTAAGAAGACAACCAAACCGTAA